ATATTTTATATAGCGCTTTAAAAGGTACTGGGATATATTAGGCAGCATGTGAACATTTTGTCTTCAAGTTGAAAGTAGAAGCAGAAAAAATGGTCAGCGTAAGGAAGACCTTGTCATTATGTTTTCTTCTATGTTCAGTTCTGTCATTCTCCTTTCTAATCAGCTATGGTCGTTTACTCTTTCAGTTAATCCAATCAGATTTAGCCACAATCTCCTCCAGCCAATTATGTTGTTGCTGTCTGCTGCATTGCGACCCTCCTCCCTTTCACCTCCAGTTCATCATTTCCAGTGCCTATAGTCTTCACCAACCCCTTCAAATAAAATGACATAATAAAGGGATCAAAGACTTATCACATTGGGAGAAGGCAGTAATGGAGAAGACCCCCGCCCCACCATATCCTGTGCTTGGACCAGGTTTGAGGGGTGAGGAGGTTGGTGTCCACAGATCTGAGATTGAAGCAGGAATGTGTCTTTTTGTTGTGTGTTTTGCACTCATTCAATGTTGAAGATTTCAACGCACTTATATTTAGTTAAAAAGGCATCTTCTAAACGTCCAGACTTATTGTCACCTGAAAGAATTAGTGCATTACCGTGGCCTAAATGTTCAGTCCCCAAGTTATATTTTTAGCTGGCTGTTAAGTCAGTCACTGGATCACTTTGACAGACAGAAACCACCCACCATGCACCCCTGAATTCACAGCCTCCCACTTTCAAGATATTCAGATTGACCACTTCAAATATGTGAAATTAGTAGTTTATCTTTACAGTGTGGGGGTGTTATGGTCAGACCCATATTAAGGCAAGTACATCCTTAAAATGTTATAATGTCTTTTTGAATTTTCTAATTACTTGTATTCTATTTAAACAGATTTTATCATATTATTTTGTATTTTGTAATGTATTCTTATACCTTTGATGAGCAAGCATTTGTACTATGTAACAAGATACTGTTTGATGTATTTGTGCCTAGGGAGACAGAGCATATTTAAGTCCCACCCACAATGGAGGGGAAAACAATTGATCTCTCAACAGAAAAATAACCAAAAGCTGCTGTGTGGTGGGATGTACTGCCAACAGGGTAAAGAACCCAGAACTACGTTTTTATAAGCTGCCGAACCAAAAAACTGAGGCAAAAGCGGAAACAGACTTGAGGCATCAGCAGGAAGAACGGGAAAACTGTGGCACCCTGACACTCAGTATGTCTAGTTTGCAGCAAGCATTTTTGAAGCTAAGTAATTTACTCAAGGCTTGATTTTGCT